GACTTTGTCTGCTCTGAGAGTTCTTCCTCACACTGAGCTTCAAACCAGCAGGTCTTGGGTCACACTGGAAGCTCTGGTGGGCTTTTACTGTGATGGGCTAGTGAGCTACAGGAGGCCTCTGAGCATGCAAGGCTTTAGAGGTGTCTTCTGCCTGCATTGGTGACTCCAGCATTGAGGTGTGGGGACTGACCCACCCTGAGTGTCCCTCCTGACCATCATCCTGGGGTTGCTGCAGGTGGCTGAATACAACATCTTTGAGGGGATGGAGCTCCGTGGGGCCCCACTGGTTGTCATATGCCAGGGGAAGATCATGCTGGAGGATGGCAACCTGCATGTGACCCAGGGGACTGGACGATTCCTGCCCAGCAGCCCTTTCCCTGACTACGTCTACAAGCGCATCAAAGCCAGGAGGAAGGTGAGGAGGTGGGGATGCCAGGAGACAGTTGGGTTATTGTTAGCCCAAATTGCCCTTAATAACTGGTTGGTTTTCCTTTGCTGTTCTTGCTGGACCCTGTAAGCGGTGCTGCAAATTGGTGGTGTATTTTGAACGTACAAAATAGCTGAGGCTTGGATAGGGAGCCCTTTGTGATAGTGGTGTGCTGTGGTGAAGACAGATGCTCCTTAAGGTTAGCAGTGGTAATGTCTCTTATCATCCTGTCCTTCTGTAGCAGGAGTCTGGAGGGAAACACTTAAAATGAAGAGATTGGCCAAAATCGCCTTCTCCTTCCTGATTTGTGCAGCATAAACCCCATCTGCACACCTTACAGGGCAGTGGGGGCTGTGCCAGGCCTCAGTGCTGCAGGACTCATGGTACACAGCAATGTGACATTATGCAGGGGGACTGAGGAGCTGGTGCATAGCTGGAGCATGATGTTCCCTGGGCTCAGAGAAGTATCATTGTCCTCTTGTCTCTGGTGACAGATGGCAGAGGTGCATGCTGTGCCCCGTGGCTTGTATGACGGACCCGTGTTTGACCTGACCACCACCCCCAAGGGGGGCACCCCTGCAGGGTCAACCAGGGAGTCCCCCACACGTCAAACACCACCCGTCAGAAATCTCCATCAGTCTGGATTCAGCCTGTCAGGTGAATACATGTGGTGGCTGGGCTGGGCTGGGAGGGGGCAGAACCACTGGCCATATGTCCCTGGCCTGGGGCAGGGGCCAGTTAGAGGTGCTCTGCAGCAAGGCAAGCACAAGAGTGGATCATGGCAGGGCAAGATCCTGTGTGTCTCTTAAAGGACATGGCTGGAGCTGCACCTTGCAGAAATAGCCAGGCAGACTACCTGGAGGCCACCGTGGCCATGGAGGCCAGCACAGCATCCAATACTGTTCTTGCTGTGTGGAGCTGTTCACAAAACATCTGCAGAGACTTTAAAGCCACTGCAGCTCTGAATTGCTATGGAGTTGGAGAGGGAACAGGTTGCAGTATATAGCCTCTGGAGGACCTTGGCAAGTCTCCAGGCTGCCTGACTGCTCAGCCCTGTGAAGAAAATGCTCTTAACTTTACTTTCCCCATTCCCTTCGTACTTTCTCATCCTGTCCCAGGTACCCAGGTTGATGAAGGCATGCGCTCAGCAAGCAAGCGCATTGTTGCACCCCCGGGAGGCCGCTCCAACATCACCTCCCTGAGCTAAATGTCCCAGCTGAGGAGGAAACAAAATCCCTGTTCAAGCAAAGGAAGAAAAATGGTACATTGGTGTTGAAGAATGAAAAGAAACAAACCTGTTCTGAAGAATCAATAAGCCTCAAGCCTTATGTTTCACAAATGCTACTTGCTACCTAGCTTTAAAGATGTTGCTTCATTTTGTTTTTGCATAGCCTTAAAGTTCTGTTGTTGTTACTGTTGTGGGTTTGGTTGGATTATGTTTTGCTCTTCCTCTCTGTATGCATGCTGCTCGGACAGGTTGCTGGGTTCAGTGTTATTGGTGTTGAACGTGTGTGGGATGCCGTGGTGTGGGACAGTGGGAAGGGCCCACAGGCGACCCGGCCAGGCAGGTGAGGGGCAGGGTCTGGCTGGAGGCAGGATGTCAGATGGGGAGGGCAGGTGCACTGAGCTCGTTGGGAGAGGTGGGTCTGTCACATTCATCTCCTTCATCTCCACCCAATGCTCTGGAGTTTCATCATGAGGCCTGTGGGGGAGCTCGAATCACCTCTGTAACAGCTGTCACAGCACCTTGTGTAAGGAGTTTTAATACTTTGTACACTTTATTAAAAAAAAAGTTCCTTCAAACAGCTCTTCTTGTCGGTTGGCTCTTCTCTTCCTCAGGCCGCTGCTGCTTGGCAGGGGCAGTGCCCAGCTGCACCCACAGGGAACGGGGCTGGGGCAGCAGAAGGGTTTGGGTGGTGTTGGGGCTGGACGGGGCTGCAGCAACAGGCTGCTGGGGCAACACCAGGCATGTGTCAGGGTGTTGGTGTAGCTTCTCAGACAAGTGTACAGGTGTTGGCAAAACAGCACAATGCAGGTATTTGTAACAGCTGTTCAATTTGTCCATGCAGTCTGTGAGCCTGGCCTGGCCACCATGGGCTGTGACTGCCTGGCAAGAGCTGTGCCTGTTTTCTGTGTTGACAGGGACCAGCTCCACGTGACACTGCCTGGGCATGGCTTTGGGGTCATCCTGGCTGGAGAGCCTTGGAGGCTGTTTTCTGTGGACTCCTGGCAGTGAAATGCTCCCCTTCCATCAAGCATTGTCTGTTAGAATGAGAGGCACTGTCCTTTAAAGCTTGCAAAGCATGTAGAAAAAAGTGGTTGTTGTTTAAAGAGTACAAAAATTAAGGGTCAGTTTCAGCTATGCTAAACAAATACACTATTTTCCTCCCTTCTTTAGTATTTGACCTTGAAATACTTTTTTTACATATCTGCAACTCGGGCAGAACAAGCTGTCTCTGCCACAATCCTTAAGGGGCCAGGCCATAATAGTTGTGCCAGGGTGGGGAAGGCTGTGCTTACAAGCTTTGTGAAGTTCTTCCATGAAGTAATTAAGGCTTTTTCCTGTTGCCTGGTAGAGATTAAGCTGAGACTGTGCCTCTGTGTACAGAGGAAGAGGGGAATAGAGACACGGTTGTAGAAATATTTAAATTTCTACATTTTAAAATTTTTAAATGTGCAGTGTTCTTTCCATTTAAGTACTTCAGTTGTTTTGGGGCTTTTCTGACCAGTCAGAGGAGAGGTATTTCTGCAGCAGCAGATTTTTTCCCTAGTGAGGAGCAGAGCTGGGATTCCAGATAAATTCACTTATGGTCTATGAACCTCTGTCTGCACCAGAGCAAGGCAACGATAGCGATGTGCTGTGCAGGAGACAGGGACAGCTGTCAGCACAGTCCTGCCTGCTGCTGCCTGGCACCAGGCCTGCTGGAGGACTGGGCAGAGAGCAGAGGATCAAAGGAGAGCGCTGGAAGTGCTCTGGATAGCCTTCCTGGCAATGGCGAGTCAAAGGCAGAGAGACACGAAGTCCCCACCCCACTGCGAAGTCCTGTTGCTCGAAAGCCAGTGTGGCTGGGGAAGGGTAGAGCAAGCATGCTGTGACATTAGCTGGGGTGCCTTCTGATGGAGCAGGGAAAGGTGTGCTGTGACTGAGCAGCAAAAGGTGACTTTCCCATGACAATGACACTGGGGACTCCCACACCCTCTTTCTGACGAATTAATTCTGCTCCAGTTTTACCGCTCCCTGGGCAGAAGAGGGTGGGGCTGTCTCCACAGGCAGGGTGGTGCGGAGGGAGGTGGTGAGGCTGCAGCCTTCCCCTCACCCCGGCAGCCTGGGGGGCTGGGGAGCAGCTGTCCCCCCCACTGCAGGAGGGGCCAGAACATGGAAGGCACCAAACGAAAGCTTGTTTTTAGACATGAACTGCACTGCTCGATGCTGGGACACCAACTGCAAGCCACCTCACAGACACATGAGGTGGAGAGGACATTTACCTTTGGGTCAACAGGAGGCAAAGAGTTCATCACACATGCACTACATTGCTAAGAATGGGAAAAATGTCACATAAGGAGGTGAAACCTCAGGCCTGTCAAAGCCTTTAAATAATAGCATCATGCCTGGCATTAACACAGTAGCAATGCTTTGGCCAGTCTCAGTCTTGGAAAGACCACACCAGCAAGACAGTTCCTGCTTAAATCAATTGTGATTTCAGTGGTAGAGATATTCAAAATACACATTCAAATTCCCCTCTAGTTTTGGAAGCCAAACCCCATCAGATTCAGTGAGCTGCAGTGGTTTAACATAATGGTGAATGTGTTTTTCAGGCTAGACTGGTAAAGCACCTGGATTCACCAGCGCCTTGTTGTTAGCACTTGGTGTCCACATCTGTGTGCTCACTGGCCACCCACAGTGCCAGCCCTGCTGGGTACATGGAGAGAGCACTAAATGGGCAGGAAACATTTGCTGCCTCTTCCCAGCCAAGGAAGGAGCTCATCTCCAGCCTCCTGTGCCCACCCTCACAGGATGTTTGCAGGAGCTGTCTGTAAGCAAAGACCACTTTTGTCACAATGCATTGGTGAAGACCTTGCATCTGGGAGCCACCTCTTCCACCTGGGGCAGCCAGCCATGAGCCCATCCATGTGGGAATGCCAACCTCTGCAGAGCCCTGAGGTGTGGCATGGCCGCGGGCACCTCTCAGCACAGCAGCTCAGCCTGGGCACACTGCAGCGGCTGCCTGCATGGTGACACCAAGGGCTGTGGCACCTGCCAGCCAAGCCAAAACGGTGGGCACCGTCTTAGCCATTGTCTTGTGCTCCCATTCCTGCCCCCAGGAAAGGCAACGTAACAGGATCTGAGTCTAACCACCGGTGGCCAGTTGCAAGGCAGCCACCACAGCCTCTCCCCCCATACTCAGGACCCTCTGGCTGTGGGGGGGAAAGCTGAGGGAGTGGGTGCCCCAGCTCTCCTTGTGCCCTGGGCTACTGGCAGGGTCCCAGCAGCAGAGGACAAGTCCATGGCCTGGCACTGTGAAGGTGCAGCCCCAGTGCCATGAGGAGGTCCCCTGCAGCGGCTGAGCTGTTCTCAGAGGGTGTTGTTCTGATGGTCCTCCCTGTGTGGGCCTCCACTTTTTGCCATGGTCTCTTGAATGCTGTCATGGTGAGGTCTTACCCTTGGAGATAGAAAAGGATGATTGAGCTGTGAGGGAAAGCCCAGGCAGTACCAAGACCCCACAGAAGTACAGCTGCCTTGGAGCTCCCCACTACCTGGCATGAGCTGCCACTCACTGCACAGCTCCTTCAGCCCTGAGTGGCCCAAGCTCCTCCAACACAGGTCCCCCACAGCCCCCTCCACCCAGCTCCCCCAGCCCTGGGCCCCCAAAAACTGTCAAAGGCTTTGGCAAGGGCCAGTGCTTCTCCTGCTGCCTCTGGATCAAAACTTACTTTTCTCTGTTGAAAACAATGAAGTCCCTCTGGAGCATTTCCAGGTGCTTCTGGAGGTGGATGGCCTTTCACATTGGAATGGAAAAATAAAAGAGATAGGGAATAAATTCACGATTTACACAGGAAAACTTTGCAAGGACAGTTTCAATGACACATGGCAATATGTTTAGGCACAGAGCATCTTTAGCCCTGCAGTGGGGAGAATGGCATTAAGGCTCTCCTCTTGCAGTAAAACAGTGCACACACATTCTGCCCTTCACCACAGGGAAGATGGGGAGAGTTTTAGGAATAAAGCTGGTCGCAATGGAAAAAAAAATCTGTTCTGTTTACTGTGGTCTTGATAGATGGCAGTCACTGAAAAATGAAAAGCCTCCTTGACCATGCTTGTATCTGTTTGCTCTCACCTGGGATGAGTTGCTTTTGCTTGTGTCTTTCTCCTTCTTAGCCAAGCGCTTTTTTTTTTTGTGAAGAGGTTTGGATTCCAGGATCATTTCTTCCAGTTCAAAGGTTGGGTCACAGTTCAGTCTGCCTTTCTGGAGGGGAGAGAGAAGTGGCCTTAAATGATCAGAGCCTGTCTTAAGGAGTCTCTTATAACCTGGACTGCATCTGGGATCTGAATTTTGTAAAAAAAAATATGCACTATTTATAATTGCACATGCAGCCAAGAGCACTGGCTACACTCCTGATATACTTTATCAGTCCCTTCAGTTACGGGCCATATTCAAGTGTCACAGTGGCTCCTTTTGTGCTCCTGCTTCTGCCCTTTGGCTGCTTTGGAGTGGCAGTGAGGATGAGGACAGCATCCTGGCTGGGTTGTGCCTTTTTGAGAGTAGCACAACAGCTCAGTGGAACTGGTCTTCAAGCAATTCAGAATTGTACCCACCACAGAGAAACCCACCAACAAGGCGGATATACAATTAACAAATATTCATAGTTTTGCCCAACTTCTGCTGAAAACCACTTGGAGTAGTTGGACTATTCTTCATAAGGGTTATGTTACTTATGTGCTGTTTTAATTCAATTTAAAAAGGCCCATAAACACAAATGTAGTGTATGTGCTATTTACTGTTAACAATGAGTTTGCTGGGGGAGGCATTGCAAGAGAAAACAATTCTCCTAAGATGGTGGGTGATCTCCAGGCTGCTGCTGAGTCCATCCTGGTGAACTAGGTTTTTGGATGTGGGGAACAGCACTGCTCAGAGCATGGGTCAGCATGAGAGGGCTCACAGGCACTGCTCATCCCACACAGATGCACAGTTCAGCAGGCTGTGACACCAGTTCTGCAGCCAGAAATTCCAGGAACATTACAAACAGGCCATATCAGTTTTGGGGCACCCACACTACAGTCTCCCTCCATTACTCTTTGCTACACATTCAGGGAAGAGACAGCTCTGCCCTGGTCTCTCTTTTCCCCTTGTGACACCTGATGCTTCAGTGGAAATTTGTCAGGATGTCTCATGTCCCAGTGCTGGGTGTGAGGAACCCTTACACTCAAATGGCCTTACCATGGGAATGAATTCTGGCATTATTCTTTTCTGGAGAACAGCATCCCAGTTCACGTCAGACAGATATGGGAAGGACTGGATGTCCTTCAGCTGAGAAAAACGTTTCTCGGGGTTCAGCTCGAGCAACTGCAGCAAGAGTTAAAGGGAAGAGATGAGACCATCCCCACAGGGCACACATTCTGTGGAGCATGGCTGAGGACACATGGTACCAGAGACCCTGCATCACTGCTGGCTTTGGACCAGCACCTTTCCTGCTCTGTCTCAGAGTCCCTTCACCAGGGTATGTGACAGGCCCACAAGCTCTGCCTCTGTTTATTCCCATTTTTATGAATTACTTTTATCTCCATTGTAGGAGCAGGCAATGAGGCAGTACAGTGGCATTAAACAATTTGTCCAATGTTAAAATAAGCATTTGTTTGGAATGGGGAGTTCCACTCAGGTGTTTGTGTTCTGCTTTTAATACTGGATCAGTAAAACATCCTCTTTTCTCACTCTACTAAAATAATATTCTCATTCCAGTGTGAAAGTATGCCTTCACACTGCTTATTTTCATATTTTTTTAACATTGCTTTAGGAATTACTTGTGTGGAAGGAAAAGGTTGAAGTGGTCTCTGTTCAAGGATTATACATTGCATAAACTGACATGTTGCACTCCTAAAATTCAGCAGGAAAACCAGAGGATCCAAACCCTTTGGGGAATTCATAGGCAAGGTGACCTGCAGAGCCCTGCTCGTGCTGGCATGCAGCCAGTTGCAAGCACTGTCCCCCGTGCCCAGCTCCCTCTGCACAGCTCTGCACTCCAGCCCAGCCAGTGCTGCAGCTCTGCGAGGACAAACATCTGCCCGGGCTGGTAATAAAACTAGAAATCCACAGGGGATGGTGGAGCCAGGAAGGAGCCACAGTTGGCTTCATATATAATACGTATGGCTGTTAAACCAGATGCAAAGGAACACTGGGAAATTTAAATAATTGTGACATGGTATTATTTATTCACAAGGGAGCCTCCATGACTTGCAGCCTTCTGTGGTCCAGAAAAAACTGCCAGCTAGAAACGCAGAGGACATCTGCAATAAATATTCCTGTGTTACTGTTAGGCTTAATGAAATACTGGCTTAATTGAATTTTCAACAAATGGAGATATTCTGCAATTTTCTTCCTGGAAAACACACCATGATTCTGTTTCAGCAAAGAATTGACAGCCTCTTTTTGTTAAAATGTCTGATTGTCTATTTCATCAGAAATTACAGAATACTCATATATATGGAACAAAAAAACAGTTGAAAGCTACATGAAGTACTACTTCATTGTCCACACTTACTTGAAATTAGAAAACTATTTACATACTTCCCTAAAATTTGCTGCCAGTGCTGCTATGCAGGGTGTAAGTGCTCAGCTTAGTTCCCACTGTTAAGACATAGCCTTATTTATTGAAGCTATGGCTTCATTTCAAATGGGATTTCAGCTTCAAAATTATTCCAGTAATGATTTTGAAGCAATTTTTATAACAGCTTTATTGAAAAAAAATTGCAGTGGTGTATAAACCACATGGCATCAAAGGATTTCAACAGTGTCAGCACTTGCAAATATTTCTGCTAATGGGAGAAAATGTTTCTTGAGGATTAAAAAAACGTGCTTCTTGGATTAAATTTATTGACACATATCAATATCTGCTTCTAAGTCAATTAATTCCAGAGTGCAAAGCTACAGAGGAAACTGTGGAAGCCAAGGCTGCCGTGTCCTTAGAGAAGGTGCAGCAGCAGCTGCCGCCGTGCCAGCGCAGGACGCAGCGCTGCTCGCCGCCACCACCTTCGTGCAGCTGACATTTGTCCCCCAGCGAGCTCCACGTCCCCGGCCTGGCCCTTACATTGGCAAGCACTTCCCACCGTGCAGAGCAGAGGCTGCGGGCGGCAGGAGCACCGGGCACCCCAGCCCCTCACCTTCCTGATCAGAGCCACCGTGTCCGGGCCCCACGCCGCCGGGTACGTCACCGCAGCCGTCCTGAACACCTGAGCGACCTCAGCTGTGGAAGTGTTGGACCCAATGTGATACGGCCTCTGTGGGAAACGCCGCCAGACGAGCATCAATTTATCTGCTTTTCAGACTTCCTGAGAAATCTGGCTAGAGCACAGAAGCTTCACACAGTCTCACTGTCCTGTCCCCAGCCTCCTGTGGGACATCTCTCCCTGTGTGACCATGGCTCAGTCAAAAAACCAAAATGTCAGCAAGAACCACACTAATAACTGGGTATTTAACAGCAGGACAGGCAGGACCAAACCCCAGAAGTCGAGTTATCAGCCTGTGAGAATTTGCTTGGTCTTGTCAGTGTTTTTATCTTACAAGGCTGTGACACACAATGCTGTGGTTAGAGCACTCCTGTTACTCCCTGTAAAACGTGTTTCAATCGTGTTGGGGACAATGCCAGTGAAAAGGAGACAAATATACCCCAACAATAAAATCAGCTCAGAAAAGGATGTCCCAGGAAGGGTCATCAACCTCAGGTGGGCATCAGGATGCAGAGTAACAGTCCCTTTTGCCCTGTGGCCACTGCCATGTCACTGAGCCATTGCAGAGGAGCCCCAGGGACTCCTCCTGCATCAACAGGCAGTGTACAGCCAGTGAGTGACACAGTGACACACGCAGTGTACAGCGCAGGTGAAGTAAGTCACCTCCCTGTTTATTTTCCTTCTACAATTCTGCTGATTTACCTGGAGAGAGAACTTAAAATGGCAGAGTGTTTCCATCTTGAAAGCTTTGATTCACAGATTTTTACCTTATTTTGGGGGGAAGAAGGCAGAAGCACATTAAAAGTATGCTTAAATAATAGTAGCTGTAAATAGTGAGATCAGATCAGGTGCAGTGTGCCTGATGTGTGCCAGCACTTGATGTACCTCAAAGCCTCCCTTCCCTTCTCCCACGGAGCAGCCACCCAGGTGCCACCACCTTGCCACGGCTGTGCCATCAAGTATGAACACACAACAGAATTTCTGCTCCTGCCTTTAGAAACAGTGCCATCAAGTCAAAAACCAACGTGATGCACAGTCCTGCCATTCAGGCTGTTCTGTATTGCAGCAACTTCTCTGAGCTTTTACCCTTGATCACAAGAACCCTGGTGAAGATGTGATCTCTGCTTCCTCTGCTGTAGTAAGTCCTAAAGCTTGAATTCAGCTTGGCCATCTCATCTCTGCTCTAAAGCATTAACCCTCCCAACAGCATGTCCAAGGGCAGAACCACACACATACCCGAGTTCTGAGCAGCTCGTAGGCAGTGACTCCCAGTGACCACCAGTCCACAGCAAAGGAGTAGCTGGTGGGTTTTGTGGAGCTAAACATTTCAGGTGCTGTGAAATACAGGGAGAAAAAATTGCCTTGCTGCAACCCCAAGTGGAAATGGATAACACAGAACACCTACCCCCACCCTTCCCGTGCTTCCATGCTCCTTCACCAGGGCCACACAGTAGCCCCACAGTCCACTCCACTGAAACTCTCTGTGCTTCTCTGTTCCCAAAGCCCAAAAAGAACAAATTCCTTTTACTGACACAGTAGTTGCCTACCATTCATAGTAAATGTGCTCTAGAATAAGCACATTCACTTGACCTAGGCATAAGGTGGCCTAAGTATCTCTTCACCTCCCCTGTGAAGTAGGACACGCACATTCCCCAGCTGCACTGAGGCATTTCTGGGGAGGGACTCCTGTCCCCACCCTGCATCCCCTCTCCAGGGTGCTCCTCACTTCAAACTGTGTGTGTTTTGATGTGGATCAGGAAGAAAAGAGTCCCAGCTCTAATCAAAAATGTTTTCACCTGTGTCCCACCACAGCAGTCCACCCAAGCCCACAAAATGGAGATGCAAGAACATGCAGCTGCCATTGGCTCTCACCCATGTAGGGCTTCGTGCCAGCGATGGTGGTGACAGGGCTGTCCTTGGTCAGCATCGTGGCAATATTGAAATCAGTGATGTGCACGTGTCCTGAAAGACAGAGGTTAATGTGTAACAGGCTTGGCTTTAATTTCACACAAGAAATAGCTCAGAATCAGAAACATACAGTAAAATACTCAATGGAAAGGAGTTTCTGGGTAAAAAAATATGGTGGGAGAACTGATAGAAAATACATCAGCTTGCAGGCTGCTTGCAGATGTCTCTTGTTTCAAATATCCCCTTATTTTCCCTCTGGGGAAGCAGAAAATGCAACAGTTTTCCAAAAAGTAATTTAGTGATGATTGTTTTGAGTCTTCCTATATTTCAGGGTCAGTCTGGAAAAAAAAAATGAACTTTGTGTGTGTCCAAAACTTTCTTAGCTTTTCTAAGTTTGTTGGAATGTAAGAAAAACCTTTGCTGCCATGGATGAAGAAAAGGAATACTACAAGTCACATACAAAAGGACACTGGAGCCAAAGGTATGTCCCCAGAAAAAACACTCTGAAACCTCTCCAAGAGAGAGTTAAGAAAACCAGTGAGCAGAGAATAGACTCAAAATTCATCCCGAATTGTAGCATCATTATAAAAGTAAGTAGGTTGTGTCTTCCTGAGCTGAATGAAGCTGCAGAGATGAACAGAGCCTTTTCCTCTTTTTTCTCTCTTCAGGGAGTGCTGACCCACATTCCCATGGCCATGGTGATCCCAGCTCCTCTCAGGAAGTTGTATCATCCCAGTCTGAGCGCACGGAGTTCGGGGAGAAAGGTGAAGGGTCCCCAAAGCATCCAGCAGCAAGGGCTGGCCAGAAGCAGTCCCACACAAGATGGGCAGCGTGGAGCCCCGGCAGTGCCAGGTCCCCACACTTCAGGGGGGACAGGGCTCTCCAAGGTCTGTGCAGGGACAGCAGCCAGAGAAAGACGGAGCACGGCAGGACAGGGGCTCCAGCACCTGAAGGCAAAGCCACGTTGCTGCCAGCTCCTAAATAAATAATCAACCAGTGCTCTGAACAGAGAGGTCAAATGCAGACGGACCGAGTCTGGGCTCGGTGCTGCCAGGCAACCTTGGTCACACCCTGTCACAGAGCCAGCAGTGCCTCCCTCGGGAGCTGCAGCATCTCTGCCACAGCCTCCAAAGTCATAACCAATGCAGGCATGCCTCCTCCCTGCACTGACTTTCTTTTCAAGCACCTTGCTCTAGCTGCTAATTAAGATTTCTTACAACAGGACAGTACTTGGCTTTTAAAAAAAAATATGAGCTAAAACACTGTTTCTCTAATGATTACAAATTAATAAATATCAGACAATTCTTCACTGTGAGATCTTTTCCAGGAAAATAATGTGATTAAAGAGCCATGCAAGAATATAGTCAAGAATTTTGCCTAAGAAAACTATAGAAAAACAAATAGCAACATTTATAATGTACCTAGCCCCTAATCCTCTTCAGAGCTCCCTCCCCAAGCCAAATGCTCAAGGAAAAAAAAAAAAAAATGTGACCAAGGCTTATCCATTGAACCATAATTAATTCTGTTTGTGCATAAACCCTGCAGTGACATAAGCATTGTCCTTCAAATGATGCATTTTCAGTAAGTTTTAAACAAGAACCAAGAAAATGTTAAAATCGGGTGTTCTGGGCTACTGACCCCAGGCAGCACCAAATATATGGTCCCCGCCAGTGCCTTGTAGGGACACCATCAAGTCAGTCAGCCAAAGGAAGTGTTGGCTAAAACACCAAGGCAACCCCAGAAACACCAGAGCATCACAAGGTGCCCAGTGCCCTGAAGGCACTGCTCCTCAAAAAGCAAGAAACAGCAAGTGGAGCACAAAAGTATGGGATGATCCTGCTCCCAGCTGGGCTGAGGGACACCAAAGGATGGCAAGCACTGAGACTGCAGCTTGTCTCCTGTCTCCGACTGGTCTATACACATGCATGACCACAGAGCACCTGGCACTTACCGTGCTCATCCAGTAAAATGTTGTCGGGCTTGATATCTCTGAGAAACAAAGCAGAGGAGAGACAGCCATTAGCCTAGAGAAGAGACAGGGAGCACGGCTGCTGGCATCGCAGGAAAGCCGGCTCTGGGACACTGGCAGAGACCAGAATAAAGATCACTGCACCCTCAGAGCCTCGGGCTCCTCAGCTCTGATGTTCCCATTTGAGTCAAGTGTCAGAGAGTGACAATCAATCAATCAATCATCAATTAATCAATCAATCAATCAATCAATCAATCCACACTGGGTACGCTGCCAGGCTGCAGGGTTTGGGTGAGCAGCACTCAGCTAAGACCAACCACAGTTAAGTTAGAGTATTTTTGTTGTTTTCCTCCTGTTATTTTCAATCTATTTCAATACTGTATGAGAAGGGATTCCCAGTACAAAATATTTTAACATCTTTGTTCTAGATACAAACAGGTTACCCACAGGTTTTATTCCTAAGTAAAAGCACCCCACAAAATAATTCCTATAGCAATGCTGTAAGGAAACACTTTTATCTGAAGGGAGAAAACGTACACCTGATACTGCCACAGTGTCCACCTGAGTGACTTTACAAGCCATTACCTGGCTTTAATGAGCTCATTACACCAGTCCCCATTGAGCACCTGGCCAGCTGATGCCCCAGAGAAAAGGTCCCAGCCAGGAGGCAGGCACCCTGTGCCAACTGATGCTCCCCACCAGGCCTGGGAGCAACAAGTGAAGAAATGAACAAGTTTAGGATTTTATCTTTAAAAATTCAATCGTTAGGATTGATTGGGTTCTCCAAGCCCCACAATATATCTAATTGTAATTTAATAGCTTAGAGTTTTCTGGCATCTTGTTACCCAAACAACTTCCAGTGGGTTATAAACACTGGTTCCCTTCCTGATGCCATCCCATCATACAGGTGAGTATAGGGACAGGCATCATTAGCAGAGCACAGGGCAGTGTCAGGTAAGCAGCTGGTTTTCCCCCTAAGCACAGTGGAACTGTTTCCATTTTTAAAAAAATTATTACTTTTTAATTTCTAGTGTGGCTGTTTCTCATCTTCCTCCGTCTGGCATACAGCTTCTGAAATTACACCAGCACAGTAAGATCATTCTCAGAATGCAAATACCAGACATAATTCTGGTTATTGTTCATTTGTATATTTCTTTTTTATAAGCTGGTTATATAATTTCCTAAGCTAAAAGATATTAATATTTCCCTTTCTTTTACATCTAGGTGGGAAATAATTACAGTCTGAGTTTGCTGTCTCTGCACAGTTTTGTTCAGCCAAACAAAGCCATTTCTTCCCTGTCTGCTGATGTTCCCAATTACAGCTGTTGCAGTGTAATTGCCTTAGCTGACTCACTTTATCAATCAAATACTATCCCACTGGGTTACCATGTTAATTAAACAACTTGCATTACAGTTTTAATTAAATAACTTGCAAATTTTACAGCCTGCCTTACATGTTTTGTTGTACTTGATTTACCTTAAACACAGGCAGCTGTGTGAAAAGCACACTGCAAGCTCACCTGCAGTTTCTCCCACTCCTATTCACACTGGAGCAAAGATCCATGCAGCAAAGCACAAAAGAAGCAGTGTGAAAGAGGAGCCCCCGAGGAGGTGGGAGCTGTCCCCCGAGCCTGGCCCCGACTGCAGCAGAGCAGAGCTGCTCGGGCCTCCTGTGGCTGAGGGACAGGCAAGGGGTCGTTCTGCCCTCACGCTGGACACGACAGCTGGACACTGCGGACAGGAACGGACACTCACCCTCACCAGCTCCTCACCAGCGTGTGCCTTCCCCGCTAACAGCCAAGACCATTTCAATTTTACACTTTCCATGCCTAATTCTTATACTGCACAAGAATGCTCATCTGGAGGGGTATTTCTAAATGACGTGACCTTCTCCCTGCAGTTACTGACTCTCATGGACCCTTCCTGACAGCAGCTAACTTGGTTAAACGCTTGGGTCCCTGAGCTCTGCGCTGCCCATGACACCAGCAGATAGCCACGTGTTTATCCATCCACAGCCAAACCCTGCTCCCCAGACAGGGAAACCTCTGCCTCCTCTGCTATTCTGCAGGCCTTCAAAGACATGGGAAGATCTCATGCATTTTTTTCCACTGGCCATGAGAAATTATGGTAGCCAAAAAGAAACTCTCAGCACTTCTAAAAAGGGATTTACCTCATACAAGAAAAAGTTGTGTTTGGGCCCGGTCCTCATATTTTGGTGCAATACAGAGGGGGGCAAAGGGAGACATCTTCAAGGATGAACACAGGAGTTCTGAGTGCTGACACCTACTCTCCCTGGATGAGGATGGATATGAATGAGTTACAGCTAATTAAAACCTATCCGAGACAAATTTTTGCAGGATCAGTGGGCAATCAAATATGCTATTTCACAGCTACCCTCTCTCTGCTGTATATAAAATACATTTCTGGGGGAAGCCTTGCATTTCACATAAAAGCAAATACACATGGGAGAATATGTTGTTTATCACTTAAGCTTCGATTTGTTGTTTCGTATCAAGGAGGAACAAGCCTGCCCACATCACAGCCTGTGGCCTGGCTGACCTGTGGATGATGTGCCTGCTCTGCAAGTAGTCAAGGGCCAGCACCAGCTCACAGATGAAGAGTTTCACAGTTCCCTCTTGGAACCGCACATTTTGTTGGAGATGGTAGCGCAGGTCCCCTCCAAGCAGCAGGTCGACCACCATGAACATATCCTCTTCATCCTGGAATGAGTACCTAGAACAGCACACACATGGTTCAAGGATAGAAGCATTGAAAAATGACAGGTGATAAAGGAACATGTGGTACCTCTGGGAATACTCATATTTTCTTGGAATTTTTCACTCCAAATTTCATGACCTTTCCGTGTTCCATTTCCCACTATTTTCACACTTGTGACAACCATAATTTAGTCTCAGATCCGTAACAGATTCAGAGCAGATCGTATGAACAGCTCAGGGTGGGCATTCTGCCTTCTCGGAGCACCAACAGGAGGTGACCACAGGAGCAATGCAGAGGAGCCTGGAGCTGACCCCAGCACTGGAGGTCCCTCTGTCAGGTGCCTGGGACTCCCTGGCCTCAGCACAACAGGGTGTGCTGGTCTCTGCTGGTCCTCCATAAGTGATCCCATTTGATGGACTGTGTCTCTCTGAGAGGGGCTGACAAGCAGCTGTGAGCCCTTTCCTCATGGCCTCTTCCTTATCAACGCACTGACTGCTTGATGTGATGACCAGCACCACCAGCCAGACCACTGCTCCACACAAAGCTTGTGTCACCCAGAGTTCAGGAAAGACACAGGAATGCTAAAGGCATCCTGAAGCCAAGGATGGCATGGCAAGGACAGAGGCAGGGACACTGGGATGGTTTGCTCTGTACAGACCTCTACATAGACACACACACTGGTCAGCTTTCAGCTGCTGAGTCAGCTTTGCCTGGAGCGTTGTGTTCAAGTAGGAAAGATAAGTTTGGAGATATTATGTGGGAGGTATAGCTGCACCTGTACCATTCATACCCCTGTAAGAACCACTCTAAATGGCAACAGCAGCAAAATACCAAGGGTTCACTGAACTGCACTCAGGTTACAGGAGATTTCAAAAAGGAAGAATTATTCAAAGATTTTTGATCTTCAATATCTTGCAGACTTTTTTTTGTGTGTGTGTGTTTAGCATTGATAATTTCTACTTTATTCTAAAAATAAATCAAATTTCCAATAAATGTAATTACCCATGACCCTAGAGGAATACTGAAACTACAGGATATTGGCCACTTTATCATACAATATGAGAGCTCACACCCCTTGGAATGTTACTGGTGTCCTAATAAAATTAGGAAGAAAGAAATGTCAAGGGACAGCCAGCAAAAAACCCTGCCTGGCCATTAATCCCATGCTGCCAGAAGTTGCTGGTGATTGCAAAGAACTCCTTTAAATACAGGTGGGGTTATGGTGATAGCCAATACCTGCCTGGGGGACACTGCAAAGGGACACATGAATAAACTCTCTTGTGCTGTCCAAGGGGACAAGGGAGATAACTGCTTAACTAAACAGATTCCACTGAAACAAGAGCCCCAGTCAGTGGAACACACCAGTTGCTCCCAAGACAGGCTTGAAGCAGATGAGGAGGGTCTGATCTCAAAAGTGTCTGTAATTGACTCAACCAGTGAGCCAAGGCACCACCTCTTACCATAAATTAACCAAGAAAGGGTGTTCCAGGCCCTGCATAATCTGCAGCTCCTTGAAAACATTTCTCACTTCATTACGCTCCACACACTTCTGTTTGTTCATGTATTTCATGGCGTACATCTTTTTGGTGTCAGTCTTTTGCACCACACAGACCTAAGAGAGCAATCAGGGGACAAAACAGAGAGGATTTGTCAGCAAATTTGGGTCGGTGAGACCCAGTGACATGAGTGTTTTCTAGCAGCTTTGGCAGTGCCAACAGTGCCAGGGCACAGCTCTACCCACCAATGCTGCAACACTGGACACTGCCTGGGAATCTCTTGGGAATTTCACCCGAAGAGAAATTGTTGGGGGAATATGAGGGGAAGGAATTTATCATCATAACATGGGAGACAGGGAATCACAGAGAAGTCAACATTTTATTTAATGTCATTCACTAACCATCATGTCCATTCCTCCCACAGAGCCCACTCCACCACAGAACTACAGGTCAAACACTGGGACCAGCACCTGATCCTCACTTTCCTGAGAAGTGTTACTCAGTTCACAGGTAATCTTGGGCTTTGTTTAAGGGCAACTGGGCTTTGATTTATGGCTACAGAATGGATAAGGATTTGGGCTCTGATTCCTTTCTGATTACCAGGAATTGAAGGTCAAGGCTCACTGATAATTCATGGGCTTTGGTTCTGTACTCTCATGTGAGCCTTCAACTCATCTATTTCCACCCAGTTACATCTCCAGCTGCTCACAGGGTGATTAGTTTCCAAAACACTCACTTTTCCAAAGCTGCCCTTCCCAATAGCTCGTAAAATCTCAAAATGGTCAAAGGTAACTGCAAGAAAGAGCAACATTTCAGTATTAAATGGCTGAGCAAACATTTGACGATATCATGTTATTTCTGCTTTTTATCCATATGAGCTGAGAAAAATGAGGGATACCCCAGAAATATTCTGTTCCTTTTGAAGACTTGGGCTTTGTTTAAACTTGGTGTGTTTAACAGGGCTTTTTTTCTCTATGGTTCAGCCTCAAAGGCAAATTCCTTAGGTCAGCCTCTGTCAATGGCAGATCAGGAAGGAGTTCACCAAGTGAACATTCTCACTCTGCCCTCCTGCACTGTCTGTTAGAGATATTAGCCTCACCTTGCTCCTGCTGAGACCAAATGCAAAGCTGACTCCATAAAACCCTTATATCATGTGGAGATATTGCCATTACCTTTGCAGGTATGATGGCGCAGTCTAATCATAGCAAAGGTGACAGTGACCAGTTACAGCACTTGGAAGGAATGCAAGCTTTTAGGCACAGATGTCCCTTCTCAAACCTGGAACAGCTGTAAATATCAAAGTAAATAGAAGCTGCTGATTGAGTTTAAACAGATCTGTTTACCCGTGAGAACATCTGGGAGAAAGGGCGGTGGATACCTGCAGAATAAAAAGGGAGAGTGAAGATGCTTATCACCTGCAAGCAAAGATGAGGTGATGGTCCACCCTTGGACAAAGCTAATGCTCTGCTTGGTCCAAGGGTGATTTAACCAGAACAGCTGCTGGTGGGCTGCAGAGGACACTGGCAAAGGCCCACAGACTGATGCGTGTCCTTCTCAGCCCACCACTGTCCTTGCCTACTACCTATTTCTTCTTTACCTTGCAGCAAACTTGGCCAGCTGAGGGAACATCTAGCTGCCATTCCCTGGGACACTTCCCACACCCTTCTGCTTGGGAGCAGCACAAACAAAATTTGGCTTCCTATATGGTCTCATCTTGACTACACTGGGAATCAGATCACCTTGTAGCCTTGAATCTTCTGTCTGGTTATTCTATTTTCATTTCACTTGCTTCTTATTCACAACTGTCTGCCCAGAGAAAATGCTGAGAGAAAAATAATCCTGTCACCCCACTTCAGCTGAAGGTAAACAGAGGCCTTCAAGAAGTTCAAACAGAAATTGTGGTGCTACAAAAAATAGTGAAATTATACCAACAGCAATTTGGGGAAATAGGCAATAATTGTGAGGACTGGCAGTGGAGCACTCACACAATTCATGCTGTTCCACTGACTCTCATGGGTCTCAAAGGAAAAGAGTCCCCGTGGCACAGCTGCAGAGATGGGATCCGTGCCCACCACCTGCTGCCTGGGGGAAGGACCTGCCCATGCCATGGAACAGTGTTTGTTTCCTACTGCACCCAGAAGCTCTTAATTAATTAGAATTTTAATTGAAATCAGAATGAGGACAAGATTGTGACATCTAAGGTGATATAGCCTTTGGTCACCAATTTGCAAGATAATGGAAAATTCCCTAGGGGACATCTCTGTTTCAGCTGGGTTTCTCTCCCCTCAGTATATTAAAGCATGACTTATTAGGGAAAAAATGCACTACTACTTTTTAGATTTGTGCAGGGCCATGGAAACAGAACTGCAGTAGTCTGCACACTGTGTCAGATTGCAGGTGTGGCCCTGAGCCCACTGAAACCTAACAAACTGACAGTGAACCACCCAACACGGTCAGAACAGGGCCTTTCCCGGCATTGTGTTTCTCAGTCGCAGAAGCTGGTGCTGTATGAGCACTGAACCCAGAGAGAGACCCAGCAGAGACCAGCCACTCCCAGGAAAATCCTACACCACCCTCAGGAAGGTGGTCAGGAGCAGAACTGCTCATTAGCCCAAGCAAGCATAAGTGGTTGCTTATGAGAAATGCCAATACTGAGCATTTAGATGCACCAGGAATAAAACCTTTAGGAAAACTTCACAGCACAGATTTCTTGTGTACTACAGAAATGGAAAAAATGTGAAAACCAAAGAAAAAACTGTAGGCAGTTGCATTAATAATTTGGAAACTGAAGCTGGTTTTGCTGAGCAGCTGCAGACTGGCAGCAGCACCACACGGCACACCAGAACAGCAGCTGATGGGGTATCCAGTTCTTCGTATGTTTTATGTTTATCACTATGTATTTGTGCTTATCACTATGTATTTGTGTTCATCACTATGTATTTGTGTTTATCTACATATACATATTGTTGTTTTACCTAGGTGAAAGCCCATATGGCAGTCAGCAAGCTGACTCATGCAACAGCAAATATATTTATGGAGCAATCTTTTAATGACTGTCTCTGTAATCTTGGCAGCACAGGGACCCTGGCCTCCAATACTGCTCCCAGCAGTAGTTTTCCAACACCTTTTCCAGCCAACCCAACCTGCAGGCTTGGCCTCCCAGTGCCTGCGGGCAGTCCCGCCCAGCTGGGCAGACACCAAGGACACCCATGGGAACATCCATCGCTCCAGTTACTTCCCCACCATACTTCCTAGCACTCCTCCCTACACTGGCACCTCCAGAATAGACCTCTCCAGCCTCCAGAGCTGCAGCGTTTCGTCCCTGCCTTCGAGTGCCTGGCAGGGTCCCAGGGACTCCCCAACACCAAACCTCTGCTGACAGTTTCGCTTTCAGAGCTGCTGGGAGTGGAGGCAAAAGGGACCCCAACCCAGACCGCAGCTCTGCAGGGACCACGGGCACGCTGCTGCCGCTGCTGCTGGCCTGCACACACCTCTGCTGACCTGGGACACCCAGGCATGGGCAGCCTCAGCACAGGTGATGGCCACCACCCTCACAGCCAGTCTGCACCAGAGAACTCTGCAGCCCCAGACAGCAACAGGAAAGCTTCTTACCATCCTCATTCCCATCAAAGGGTGGTGACTTGCTGGAGGTGTTTGCCCCCATGGTGTGCTCAGCCCAGGCTCAGCACCCTCTAATCCTCTGGGTTCTGCTCCCACACTCGAAGCCTCTGGGACAGTTCCGCTGTGGGTCAGTCCTGTCAGACCTTGGCAATGTCCTGCTGACGCATCCTGCAGAAGGCAGGAAGCAAAAGTTCATCATTTACAGCTTACGAATGTCTCACTAGAGGTTCTCTGCTCTGAGGACAAGACTGACTGTCAGGAAAAAGCACATTGCAATGGAGCTCACTAAAGCACATTGCAATGGAGCTCACTAGAGAAGCCAGTAACACCATAACCTTGTAACTCAGATCAGGACTGCTGCCCACTGCAGGAAGGGTAGGAACAGACCAGCAGATCCAAAGATCTAAGGATCTGGCTCATGTTTTCTGTATCATCCAGCCTGTATTTTGTAGCTTCAGGGGTGACTAATTGTAGTGACACCAATATCGAAAATAAATGGATATACTGACTTGGCTAGATAAACCCAAAAGCCACTTTTGACTAATGAGGTCACATTGAAGGGTAAAAGCTATGGAAGAAGAAACTCAAAATGCCAACCTTTTGATTTCAACTGTTATACAAGTCTTTCATTTGGGAAAAAAAAATCATACCATTGTGGTATTTTTAATGAAAAGATTCCAAGTAAAATCAGGGTATAGTTTCCACTCAGGTTCTTCAGATTTTTTTTTTTTTTTTTTTGGATATGAACAATGAACAGAACAGCAAACCTGATTTCTGGCTTGATGCTGGCTGTAGTGACTGTATTTCCTCTCCCACTGCAAAGAGACAGGTCTGGTCATTAGCAGGGATCACAGAAATTTTCTGTCTCTCCTGACATGTATGGGAATACTGAAGTGTAGAACTCTGTAGAGTTTACTGACACTTGAGAGAGCCTGAACACTCTCTGTAAGGTACAGCAGCCACTACATTTTTTAGGCATTTACATGCAATGCTCCTTTATGTGCTTGTTTTTGATACTGACATCCCTGTGACAACTTTATTCCTTGTTTCAAGTACAAACCCTTAAAAGAACAATATGAGGGAATACCAGTGCAGCAAGATCTGGACTGGGTCCAGCCCAGAGCATTCTCCAGGGCATTCGTATGTTCACTGAACATTTTCTCAGATCTACACTTTGGAGATGCTGACTAACTAACTCCACTTCTATAAATTAAAAAAAAATATGGTACTGAAGTGGAAAAAGGAGGAATCATAAGAAAGATGTTGGAGAAAAGAGAATTACTGGGAACTGGGACTGTCATGGGATACGAGTTACCCCACCAGCTCCTTTTCTCCAGCTAACCAAAACAAAATCTTAATTTCCCATCTCAGAACTGAAACAAGATACAGCAATAAAACAAATGAAGCAGCAAAAGTTTACAATTCCCATCAGTGCTTCTGTCAGGAGCAGATCGAGCCTTCAATTTCAAACAAAGCCACAGCAGTAACTCTTTTTGAGCCCCAAAATTTACTCTTCAGACTAAAAATAGACCTGCAGATGCAACAGCCATAAATCACGTTTCCATATCACAGGTTCCCAAGGAAACTTCCTTGCTCAGCAGTTTGGAGCCAAGTTCATTTTTGAAAATACATAATACATACAAGCTCTGAGGAAGGAGTGCAGATATTCCGTGAAGTTAAGCTATTCTGAGTAATAATTACAGGGGTTTGCACCTTTACAAAATGTAGCCGGCGAATGGAAATGATAAATATTTTACTGTTTCACGCTGCAGAGTCACAAAACTATTAAAATCATTACTTTTCCTCGGGCCAGATTTACTAGTGGTTCCACGCTAACAGCATGCTCAGTCGGACCCTGGTTCCATCAGCAGCGGCAGCAGCTCCCCTCGCAGCTCTCCCGGGGGTTTTTCGGGAAGGCACTGCCGGGCAAGCCCGGCTGCCAGCCCCGAGCCCGCAGCACACCCGCACATGGCCCAGCACGCCTCAGTCACAGCAGATTCAGGAAACACCACGCAAAACCGAGGAACGCAGCCACCTGCGTGGTTTGCAGCCGCGCGGCGAGCAGGGTGTGCTCTGAGGGGACGGGAGCGCAGGGATCAGGATCAGGATCAGGACCAGGGAAGGACTGAGGGAAGGGCCGGAGGCTCAGCAGAACGATGGGCACCGGCAGCACCGGTAGTCATCCCTGATGGAGGCTGCCGAAACCCTGGAAGGGGACGGCTACCTCCAAACGCTCACGGACAGTTTCTCTCACCACCCCTGCACTACCCGAGCGCTGCTCCGCCGAGGAGCTGGGACTGGGCGGTGACCCAGCCGGAGGAACATCACCCCGAGCTTCGATCCCAGAGGAACCAACGATGACCCTGAACTCCCTCGCGGCCACAGCAGCGCTCGGGAAGGACGAGGGGACGCGCCCTGAGTTTCCCCGTCAGTGCACGGGGCGTCTCCTGCGGAGCTATGGGTGTCGGTTCTCCCCGCAGCCGGGTCTCCGGCGCCGCGGCCCCAGCCCAAACGCGCTGCGGGCAGCGGCGGGGCTGCCGCCGGCGAGCCCCGCACGTCCCGGTCCGCCGGCAGCAGTGGGAGACCTCCTCCCCTCGCCCCCCGCCCAACCCCGCCAGGGACAGCGGACCAGAGCCCGCTCCGTGCAGCAGGACCGGGCAGGCGCCTACCTGGGGCAGCGGAGCGCAGGGACCGAGCAGCCGTCGGCCCAGGCGGCACCAGCCTGCGGAGGAGAGGAGCCGGGGGCGACGGAGCCGAGGAACCGGCCGGGCCGGGCCCCCGGTGGCGGCGGGAGGAGCCTGCGGCACCTGAGCGACACTCGCGTGGGGCCGCGCCGCGGACACGCCGCCGCGCCGCCAGGAAGGTGTCCGTGTCCGTGTCCGTGTCCGTGTCCGTGTCCGTGTCCGTGTCCCTGTCCCCGCCCTGCGGCCGGGAACGACACTCCCTCTGATGGCCCCACCGCCCGAACCCCTCTGCCGCCCCTTGCTGCGGGGTTATCCTTTCTCTCCTGTAAGCCTCGTGCCTTGCCCTCCGTTTTTTTGGAAGGGGTATGCGGGCTCCGCCTTCGGTGCCCGGGTGCATCCAGCCCCGCACCCGCCTCGGGGTGCAGCTGGCAGAGGGCGGTCCCGTCGGAGCCTCGGTCACTCAGGTCTCGGTATGGCCGGGGTCACGCTGCCCGTCCGCATTCCCCTGAAAGGATCCATAAGAAGAGAGACACCACATTTCCCACCCCATTGTCCATACTCTCGGACACTGGCTTTTCTCCTCTCATTCCTGAATGCCAGGGAAGGTTTATACTCCCAGGGCTCTAAGGAAGAGCAGTCCTTGCCCCAGGACAGGCAGAAGTCAGAGCACTTACCCAATTTTAGCCATTTCATGTACTACTTAGAGAATAACCAATAAGCTGAAACACAGCTGAGTCTCTCCTAAACTATCTAAAGCAATTCAGATCGTCTGAAATACAGACCCATGGACTGCAGAGGGAGAAAGAGGCTGGGTTCCTGCAGAGCTGGTTTGGGCCAGGGGACATCTGTCCTCAAACCCAGCTCTGAGGTGAGGACACATACAAGGGCTCTGGGGGAGGTGAGCTCCACGTCGGGACACCAGCTCCTGTCCTGGGAAATGACCTGCACAGCCTTACAGCAAGGATGGGGATCCAGCAGTTACCACACAGAAACCAAGTAACAAAGTGGTTTAAAGTAAACCATCTGTGGTGGGTAGGGTAAGGTGTTCAAGTTGCAGGGAATTGTTAGTGATTTGTCTACAGCTCTAAAATCAGGAGATGCTCAAGATTTCCTTCCCAGCCCAAGACCAAACTCTACCTTTTAGAGTATCCACCTGTGGTTTTCTCTCTGTCTGAAGCAGCTTTTCCTGAATAGACTAAAATTTGCTGGATGAAGAATCACTTCTATTTGACTTTTCACATGAGCGACTTACATGAAGCTTGAAAATTTTTATCTTAAGAAATTAGAATTTTTTTTCTAAACAGTATTATTCTGATTTTATTTACAGCAAAAGCTATAATCCAGGACAAACCCAGTAAAACTAGTAGAATCAGTAGTGGAAATATTAAAAAAAGTAGTAGTCCAGAGTTGTTCTGTACAGTGGGTTATCTGGAGAGTTTCAGAATCTTGTATGTCAACAGAAATGAAATATTAAAGTCTAATTATTGAGTAGGCCAAAGAAACAGCAAATGACAGAAGGCAGATCTGCAACAGCTCCTCTGAAACAGGCAACTCTGTTCCCCATGGGCAATGGGAAAGCGCATTCTGCTTGGTGCAGCAGGAGGATTAATTTTCCATGGGAAACAGAGAGCTTCGTGTCCCAGAGCTGAGGCTTTGGTCTGCAATAAAAAGACAGCACACTTAGGAAGAAAATCAGTGAAACATATCCCCCAGTTTTCTCAAGGAATAGAGCTTTTCTACTGTGTCAGCTCAGAAAGAGGAGACATGTCCCATGCTGGGGAATTTTTTCACTCGTACTAAAAGAAACTCAGGGGAGTGAAGTGTTCTCTCTGTCACCCGTCATGCACAACAGCCACTGCCAGCTTTCCTGGCTTGAGGAATGGGAGCGCCGTGGTGGATCTCTGGTGCCTTCTAATGGAGAGGAGGCACGGCTTATCCCTCTCCTCCAAGAGGTTCCTGCCACCAACCCATACACTCCTCCAGCACATAAACCCCACCACTACCCCAGCCTGGGCACGCCAGAAAAACCCCTGGGGTCTGCAAAGGTCAGAGGGGGCAAAGCCCCTAATGGCTGCCACTGAATTAAAATATAATTTTTATAAGTTTTATTCACCTTTACAGTTTTAACTATTCAGCTACCTATACTTTTGGTTCAACTATCAAACTAATTTTTTTCAATGGCTTAAAAAACAGAGAAGTTTTGCTATACTTATTCTATGCATTTTCTGGAACCATAAGTATTAAAGAAATTAAATTAAATTGAGCAGCCATAACTCAGCTGTAATCTTCCAGTAGACATTAACATTATGGTATGCTTGTAATGTGCTAGATTTCAATACCCATTGCTGGCATCTCCTGT